AAAGGCAGGCAGGCAGGCAAGCAGGCGACGCGCAGTGTGCGAGCAGGGCAAGAGCTCACCAGTGGTGGGAAGAGTAGGCTCGGCGACCCAGCGGCTCGGCAGCTCGGGCGACTCGGGCGGCTCGGCGGCAAGGCGGCTCAGCAGCAACTGCAGCTCAGCAGCTCGGTGACTCGGCGGCTCGGCGGCAGGGCGGCTCGGCAGCAACTGCAGCTCAGCAGCTCAGCGACCCGGCGGCTCGGCGGCAGGGCGGCTCGGCTGTGGGGCGGCTCGGCTGCTGCAGGTGAGCGGCTCGGCTGCTGCAGTGGGAGATGAAGGAGGAGGAGAAGCAGGGGAGGCCACACACCTGCCACCCCTCTGCTGGCCCCCTCAGGTCACCTCGACAGGCGACGGGAAAAGGGGGGGTGGGTGGGGGGGGCCGGTAGATGCAGCGGCGGGGCCAGCAGGTGGAGTTGCGGGGCCGGTAGAAGGGGACGGCAGGAGCCGTCAGGAGGGGACGGCGGGGCCGTCAAGAAGGGACGGCGGGGCCGTCACGAAGGGACGGCGGGGCCGTCAGGAGGTGACCGGGCCGCGACGGGGGCAGGCGGCGGGGCCGCGTAAGGGCCTGGGGGGGCCGCGACAGAGCCGTCGGCGGGGCCGCGTGAAAGCCGGGGCGGGGCCGCGTAGAAGCCGGGGCGGGGCCGCGCGAGAGCAGGTGGCGGGGCCGCGAAGGAGCCGGGGCGGGGCCGCGTGAGAGCAGGCGGCGGAGCCGCGTAAGGGCCTGGGCGGGCCGCGACAAAGCCGTCGGCGGGCCGCGTGAAAGCCGGGGCGGGGCCGCGTAGAAGCCGGGGCGGGGCCGCGCGAGAGCAGGTGGCGGGGCCGCGAAGGAGCCGGGGCGGGGCCGCGTGAGAGCAGGCGGCGTAGCCGCGTAAGGGCCTGGGCGGGGCCGCGACAAAGCCGTCGGCGGGGCCGCGTGAAAGCCGGGGCGGGGCCGCGTAGAAGCCGGGGCGGGGCCGCGTGAGAGCAGGCGGCGGGGCCGCGACAGAGAGGGCGGCGGGGCCGCGTCAGTGAAGGCGGCGGGGCCGCAGGGGAAATGGCGACCGAGGGGTCGCTAAAAAAAAGATCGCGCCTCGGGGGGCGCTTCGTGGGCCCAAAAAAAAACGGTCCGTAGAAGACCCGCTCTATACCATGTGAGAATAAGAGAACAGGGAATGAATGAACTAGCAGTGAAATTGAGTACAAGTAGGAAACCCTAGAATTGTGTACCCCCTATAGGCTAACCCACTGTAGCCTACACAAGCATAACATATATAATGTTTGACACCCCTTGCATGCAGCTGAAAGGCCCCTTTCAAGGTTCGGCAGGGGGCCTTCGACACGTCACCAAGATCGAGCGGCTTGAACGAAATGGGCCCATCAAGGGCGAGAAGAGGTGGAGCGCGACGCAGATGGGCGTCGCTTCCGTCTGGCCGGCGGAAATTTTCGCGGACTGGTTTCCGTCGGCGATGCGTCGCTCGACGAGGGATGGGTTGGTTACCGGACGGAATTCGTCCACGAACCGAGCGAGCAGTTGGGCTCGGTTTGGGTGGGGACCACTGCCAGCTCGAGGGCGCGAGTTGATGGCGTCACGCGCAGCTGGCGCCAGCTGGGGGGGCCTGTTTCTGGGCGGGAGGGGGGAGTTGGCTCCCGCCCCTCGCGTGCCCCGCTAGGCGACTGCGGGAAAACAAAAAATCCCTCCGAGGAAAACCCGCAGGGGCGAACGGGTTTCCGCGGAGGGATTCGGGCGATGTCTTCCCACAGAATTCCCAAATTCCCTGTTATGCACTTAGCCGTAGCTTCAAAGCTGGCAAAGCGACGTTGTCATGTAAACTCACAGCTTTGCCTTACCAGGCTCTTTCAATGCTATTGATTCGCGAGAGCTGCTGAACCAAGCCAGACGTTAGCAAACACTTACAACGACACCTTGTTTCTTAAACAGGTTTGTCACGAATACGATCGAACAAGATACGGAGAAACCCGCTAGCAGCCTGTTTCACGAGGTTCTTGTTGCTGACATTTCTAGTAGCTCAGTCATCGATAGTGAAACTCAGCCGATCCGTCATTGTCCTGCTTTCCATAGACTCAGCAGCAGGGAAAAATCGGTGCGATAGAAGTCTGTCTTTGGCAAATGAGAAGGCTCCACTTTTGAGTTTTTGGCCAGGTGGTGTCCTATCCGGCAGCAGCAAGCAAAGCCGGAAAAAGTACAACGACAGTCGAACATCGCAAAAAAGGACTTGCTAGAAAGCTGCGGGAAAGTTGCAAAAAGGATACTTTTTGGATACCTTGGTTTTGCAACTTTCCAGTGATGGTCAAATGTTGTAGAAATCGTGGTTGCGGAAAGTTGCGAAAATGTTGCATTCCTGCAACTCTCCCGCAACACAACCGCAACTTATCGGACAATCTTTGGACACGTTGTGTATACATTTCAGTCACATGTATGCAGTTTCACCATCTGCCACGTGGCATGCGTACAGTTTCGACTTCGAAATGAACGTACGCCGGTACGTTTCGCGAAGATATTTTGCCACGTCAGCCACGATATTTGTGCCACGCGTCATTCGCGATATGTGGACTCAGGCGTGACACTTGGACCCATTCAAACAAGATGTGCGAACGTGGGAAAATTGATTTTAACATGCCGCCGAATTGTCTGAAATCGGAGCATGCGTTTTAGTCACAGTTGTGTTTAAAAGTATTCAGTTTATACACTATATGTATTCTCTTGCACATTTGCATGAATAATTATCAGCACACACAGAGCACGATCTAGGCGAAAAACCAACACGGCTAATGCAACGACTACAGATCTTCAGGTCTCAATGGCAGATGAATATAGGGCGAAATCACGCTTCGTTTGCGGGCCTGCAAACAGAGATACGGCTTAGTGTTAGACATGGGTTAGTAGACAGTAATTGTTCCCTACCTCACTGACCTACCGCCCGCGGGCCTTGAATTGAACAGAGAACATTGCATGAACAAGATTGACAACTCTGCGAAATCCATGCGAAAAAAAAAATGTATATATATCTCGTGGCAGCCACTGCCTCTGCAATGGTCTTGGTACCACACAGGAGAAGACAGCTAAACGTTAGCGTTAGAGGCTGGATGATATATAACTCGATACGAGCATGGGGAAGAAGCCACGACGATTTAAGAGATTTGCAAGTGGAGGCAAAGCGAGACCGAAGGCCTTCCCGCATGCAGAGGACCGTGCTGACGATCTGTGTATTGGGTGGATATGAAGCGGGAACATCAATGTAACTGATTAAAGTGGCACGGTGCAGCGCAGTTCAATACAAGAGAAAATGTATCTGCATTCATTGCGGGAAGAACGAGAGGAAAACGATAACTGAAGAAGCCTAACAAGTGCGAATAAATGACAAGTGAGGATCACAACAAGAGTGAGGAGAATCGTTTGTAAAAAAAATCAAGCTTTCAGCGCATAACACGGCGCTTCCGCTGCCGGGCAACGCGCTTTACGGCGCACCGTTCGTAGGTAGATGGGTGCTGAGTCCGCGGCGATTCGCGCGCAGAACGTCCTCTGCGTGGGGAGCGCAAGTCGATGAGCTGTATATGGGACGGGAGGTAGAAAAGAAGGGGACAGATGCAGGGTGAGACGGTAGATCTGGACAGATAATAGCTTGAATACATACTTCCTATAGTAGATTTATTACACACACAGAAGGAAAAGCATACGGTATACGCTAGTTTGATGCGTGAGGGGATATTCAGAGGCACGATATGCAGGCTGGACTGGAAGAAAAAGCTGAGAAATTTGTATGACCAATGAGCTACGCAACTAGCGTGTTGTGTGAATACGAAAGAGAGACGCTTCTAGAGCTCCGAAGTGTGATGATGTGTCTTCACGGATGCTGTAGATTTCTGGCACTAGCATACATCGCACCAGTAATTGGTTAGTAAAAAATCAGGTAGGTTCGGATAGCTCAATTCCGGTTACCTAAGGTGTGATCCGGGAAGCCACGTCACCTGAACAGAATCTGAACACTTACATTGATTGGGTGTGACATGGAACTGTATGCCAGCTGCCAGTTCCGATTCTGGGTTGTGCCTTCGCGAGCCTCATCTGAGGTTGTATCCCAGTTACTGTGCTCGCCACGTTCGACAATGTCCGCCTGATTCGTGCTGTAGTGTTCATCGATCATACACCAGCAAAGGGGACTCCCGAGATTTGGGTCGGACGAAGGTTTGTACTGTTCGGTGAAGATGTTTTAAGTTTGATGTGTGAAATTCGTGGCTCGGTAAACCCACGTATACAAGAATTTGCGCCCCGGCTGACCCACGTAGCTCATGTTCGCGGCTAGGAAGCCAGCTTGTATCCAAAATTGGTGCATGTTGCGGTTTCACTCAGTGCTTTTCGGATACTTTTCAGGTAGGTTTCTGCAACTTTGCTGCAGCTTTCAGACTTTAACTCGATTTTGAGCCAAACCCTTTTCCGCGATGAAATGCAATCTGTGAGGAGTGTACAGGGGGGAGGATCAGGTGGCGATGAAGATGCGGGTGGGAAGGACCCTTCGGATGTGCCTCCTGTTGCATCCGCCGCTATGGGTGCGCCGCCGTCCGCCACCCAGGTGGAGAGCACGAGCAGCAGTTACGACGAGGAGATTTTGGAATGCATGCACAGATTGAAGATGACGGCACAGTGGCTTCATTACGAAAGCGAGGGTGAGCCAAAGATGGCAGAGCGACGACGAAGAAACAGTCGCGGCAGGAGAGCAGGGATGCAGAAAGGATCCGAGAAGCTTCAGGTGCTGTCGCTATTACATGGACGTGAGAGGCGCGTGGGACCGGCAAGTGTGCGAGTGCTGCTTCGACCGCGTAGTGAGCTACCGAGCACAGCGCGTACTTGGCATTGTCCGCCTGGCAAACTTTCCGTTGCGACCTTGAGAACCAGCTGCCTGACTCCATCCCTTTGCTCCCAGGGTCGGCCGCCCAGCGCCATTGTTGAGTACTCTGCAGGGGTACCCATGAGGGCTTTTGAGACTCCGGGAGGTTTGCCTCCTCAGCAGTTGTTCGGCGTCAAGTGTGCCGTGGCACCGATTCGCTGTGCCGAGGCAATGATTCTCGAGTGGATGGCTGAGCCTCGTGTGGGCGTGCTCATGGACCTGGGGAGGATCAGATCCCGTCTGCCTGCCATTCTGGCGGCTACAGGTGCCACTTGTTCAAATAGCAGCAGTTGCAGCTACAGCTGCACTGCTCCTAGAACAGCTGCTGCCCCTGCTGCTGCTGCTAGTGGAACGTGGGGGGCTCACTGGTCTGCCTACCGCCGTGCTGTCAGCTTTGCCGCATTCCTTACGCTTGTCGCAAAGTGGCCGCGAGTTGTGAATCTAAAGAGGTTGTCTCTGTGTCCAGGCTCCTTAGTTTATCCTGCTATCATGGCCCAGCTGGGGGCTGGCAGGCAGGTGGAGAACGATTGCGTAGCTTCCATGCTGGTGCAGGTGCTGGGGGTGAAAGAGAGCGCTGATCTGCAGGAAGGGTTTGGTGCTCTCATGCAGAATCTGCTGTCAGGCGGGCTGGAAAAGGCGCATGCAGCTGAAAAGGGGAGTGAGGGAGCTGGGGGAATGGGTGCTGAGAAGACACATGAGGAGGAAGGGGGAATAAGGGGGGAGACTGCTGAGAAGGCGCAGGGGGAGGAGGGATGGGCGGATGGCGAGGTGATGGATAGGGGCGGGGGCATGGAAAAGGAGGAGGAGCAGGGGGTTGATGATGCTGGTGATGTGAGGGACGGAAGAGAACCAAATTGTAGCAGCGAGGCGAGCAGAGGGGAAGACAGACGTAGTAGCAGGGCGGCTAATGGAGCTGCTGAAAAAGGGTGGCAAAGGGGGGAAGAATGGGCAATGGAGGGAGCATTTGAAGGGGCGTGTGTGGGAGAGGTATGTGGATGGCATGGCTTGGATTCTAGAGCATGGTGGTGGGGAAGGGTCGGAGTTCCGGTGCAGCCACTGCAGTGAGGGGGCAGCAGCAATAGTGGTGACGTGCAGGTGAATGGTATTCCCAAGGGCATGTATGTGAGTGGGGTCAGCGCCACGGATATTGCTCTTGCTTTTGCCGAAGAGTTGTCTAAGGCAGAGCGCTGTGTAGACGCCTGTATGTACACATTGGATGGAAACAATACGAATAAGGTGAGGGTGGAAGAGGCAGCAATTGAGGAGGCTAGAAGCAGGCTGAAAAGAGGGGTAGGTGGAAAGGGCATAATATGGGGTTCAGGAGCAATAGGAGGAAAATGGACAGCAGCAAACACGAATGGGGCAGCAGCAAGCAGGAGTGGGGCAGGAGCAAATATGAGTTGGGAAGCAGCAGACGCGAGCAGGGCAGCAGCAGCCGCGAGCTGGGCAGCAGCAGCCGCGAGCTGGGCAGCAGAAGCATCAGCAACTGGTAAGGCATCTGCTTCCAGTGCTTCTGCTTCAGCTGGCAACCGCCCTTGTGCACGAGTAGATGGCACCTGCGCTAGGTACAACCCTGGGCTAGTGCCTGTAAACACAAATCTCATCCTCGCAGCCTTCACATATCGAGTTGCCCGCATCTTACGGTGGGTTCGATTCTATGGCTCAGATGTCGTATTTGTGGAACGATGCTCCAGAAGTAGGCCACCGAAAGGGATCTTGCAAATGCCCCATCCTTTCGAGTGCTCCCGAGCCTGCTGCTGAGGCTCGGTGCCATCCCGAAGCCTCTAACTGCTGAAAGTCTTCCTATAGAGTGGGAGGAATGGCCACATGGTGATGAAGCTGCTTCGAAGCTTCCTGATGATCCCGATGCAAGATTCTACCTGCTGGGTTTTGTGGAGGAGAGTGCAACGGGGGTGGAGAGTGAGCAGAAGAGGGTAACAGAAGAAGCATCAAAGGCTGGGAGGAGGCACAAGAGGGGGAAGGTGCGAGGAGCCAAGGCACCATGCCAAGCAAGTGACGGCAGGTGGCAGCGTTGCAAACAGAGGGCATGGTGAAGAGCAAAGGGCCAGTTCACATGCATGCGGCATGGCTGTTGCAAGGCCGCCTTTTAGAAGGAAGCTGCCCATCGTGTGCTGCGTGGCAGATGCAGATTTTTTTGTGGAGGGGGTGGCCGGTTGATGAGTCCACCGGCATGTGCTCAATGCATCCATTGCTACCGCAGTTTCTACATCCGCATCCCATCCATCGCCCTCATTTGCCAAGTTCGCCTATTGCCCCCTCTACGTTCTCTTCAACCGCTTCTTATCTGTCTTCCCGCCACACTCTGCTGGGTTTGATGCACTTTTGGAGAACATGGGGTTGCCGCCGTTTCCCTCAGGCTCGCCTTCACGTACCAACCTTGCGGTTCTGTGCGGTGAGCTAGAGAAGGAGCGCGTTTTCTTCCTGCTCCTCGTGGCCCACATGTGGCCGACTTCCATTCTGGATATGGAACAGTTTGAAGGCATAGAGGTGTTCTAGGGAGATGGGATTCGAGTGAACAAGATGGCTGTGACGGGGAGGAAGAGAGGGAAGGCTCGGCGAGGGATGGGAAAAGGAGGGGAGGAGGAGGAGGAGGAGGAGGAGGAGGAGGAGGAGGAGGAGGAGGAGGAGGAGGAGGAGGAGAATGATGGAGAGGTGTGGGAGGAATTGGATACGTGGTGCTTCGCAGTAATGAATGCGTGACCATCCAGCATGCGCGCCTCGTTGAGAAATGCCGATGTTGAATCGGCGGGTTCAGGACTGAGCGATGTGTGCATGGGCAGTGAGGAGCAACAGAAGAGGGCGGACGTGAACGCGAGGACTGCTGATATGGTCAAACACAGGTGCGGCGAAGATCCGCAGAAAGACGGTGCAACACGGCGGTGCTGTGGAGAGCAGTAGCACCGGCAGCACCAGACGTGATGTAGTCATGGAGAGTGGCACTACTGGTGCTGGCAGCGTCAGTGGCGGGTAGCAGTGGCAGAGGAGGCGATGGTGCTGGCACCAGTAGAGATGGTGACGATGCTGATGGTGGCAAGTGCAAAGAGGGAAAGGGCAAGAAGGGGGAGCTGCCGGCTTATTTGAAGGCATGGCCGGGGGGGGGGGTCAAGCTGGTGGCATGTCTGCGAGAGTTGCTGCTGGGGGAGCCGTGCTACCACCCTGCCTCTCATGCTTCCCCTTCCGTCCCTCCTCCTGTTGTGAACACCTCTGGTGCAGTTGCTGCTGCCTCGTTCCACCCACCTGTGCGAAACCTTGCTACCACATCAGCCTATGATGCTTCTTCTACACATGTCACCCCAACTACTGGTGCTGCAACAGGCACTACAAGAACAGCTGTACCCATTGCAGATGAAGAGGCCAATTTTCCTGATGCTTACAAGGAGAGTAGGTGTGGTGATGTGGGGTGTGGTAGGGTGGAGGGTGGTAATGTGAAGCTGAGGAGTTGCGGTGGGTGTGGCAAGGTGCCATATTGCAGCAAAGAGTGCCAAAAGGCGCACTGGCCCTCCCACAAGCACACATGCCCCGGTAGGACCAGTAGCCGGGGTGGTGGCAGCAGCAGCACTGGCAAGGTGGGTGGCAAGGCGAGCAGTGGGGGTGTTGGGTAAGTATGCCATTGACTTAATGCATCACAGACAAGGCTTGCGAATGCTGCTACAACTAATGAGGGTGTGCAAAGTTTTCTTTGCATGTTGTCAGGATGTTTGCTGCTCTGCTTGTTGCAAGTCATCCATATTGTGCAGCACTGCTGAGCATTCTCAGAGGTGCCTATAATAGGAGTGTGCATGAAGTTCCCTTGCAGATGGCTGGGTTGGGCCCTTTGCTGCTGTGTGCCGCCGTGCTTGCAGTTGTGCTTGCTGCCAGATATGAACCTTGTGTTGCAGCAGCTGCACTGCTTGAGAAGCAAATGTAGACTCTGCTGTGTTTCATGTGTTGGAAATGACTGGCGTTCCTCTCCTTGCACTCTCTTTCCCCGGCTTTTCCTCACTACCTTTCCAAGTGCTCGCTTGCACACGTCCCCTCCACCTGCTCTGCATTGGTCTAAGTTTAACTGACATGTTAAGCAGTGCTATGCAGAACTCTTCATCCGCGCCTCACAGACATTGTCCAGTTGGGAAATGGGCGCATCGGACTGAACCTCACAAGTTAAAGGTTTACCACCGTGCTGAGCCCGGGCGCTTATGAGCTGCTTTTGATAACAGGGAGGGGTCTTCGGTTGAATAAAATAATAAAATCCGTGAATTAAATGTATGGCTGGAATCTGCGGGTTTTACAAAGGACATGCCGTAATAAAGAATACACTAGCATTTTCCAGGTAGTAACTGGGTCGGGGGGATTTAGGGTACATGGGGAAACGTAGGGAACGTGTTGATGTTACTGGTACCAGAGGACAGCCAATTGATTTGTACGCTAGTGCGAATTGCCCTCTGCCAAGTGGCGAGATCTCATCGAGCAACGGGAGCTCCTCGCTGTTGCGGAAGGCTTGAAGGCTCAGAAGAGGCAGAGCATACGGTAGTGCCTAGTAGAGGCAGGGTAAGGCCGGCAGGCAACACCACACCACAGCAGTGTTGTCAACGACCCACAGTCTACGTTGCACACATGTGGATCAGGATCTGAAGGGGATGGTGGAGGAACAGAAGTGGGAGAGAGTTGGAGAGAGGCAGTCAGCCATGAAGGACCCCACCGCCTTGACTGCACTGCACTCATGTGGACCAGGGGCCTGGTGGGGTGGGGGAGTGGAAAGAAAGGTGGAAGTGAGTGAGAAGGGAGTGAGCAGGGGGTGGGGGGAGGAAGGAGGCGAGAAGGAGAGAGAGACATGAAGGACCCCACTGCCTTGGCACCACTGCACTAGCGTCTGTATGATGATGGCTGCCACACACGTGATGATGGCTGCCACAAACGTGATGATGGCTGCCACACACGTGATGATGGCTGCCACACACGTGATGAGGGGAACAGGTGGGGAGGCTGATGACCCACCTGTGTGGCAGCCATCGTGTGCCACCCCAGTGTGTTGCCGCGCGTTGACTATTACGGATTTACTTCCGCCACATGTGCAGGAGGAAGTGCCGGAGCATCGAGAGAAGGAGGGCTTCATGTCCCCACCCATTTGTGGAAGTTGACATTCCCCATCTGCCTCAAGAACCAGCTTCTTCCTCTTGTGGTCCAACTACTCCCCATTGCCCGACTGCTTCGCTGGGGTTGGCTCAGCTGGGTGAGACCGTTCCTGTTACTCTCGAGCCTCCAGGGTCAGCTTGTTCTGCAGTCGTTGACTTCCCGCTGTGTTCCATCGTTGCAGGTCCGGTGTCTCCGGGAGTGGAGGTTGAGGCAGTTGGGATGGTACGCAGGCGAAAAAGTCCGTCTGATGCCGGACGTTTGAGGTCCATCTCATCAGTGTGTGACCAGGTCGGCGCCTCCGTGGGTGTTGTCCTTAGCAGAAGAGTCCGGTCGGAGTCGTCCATCGTGCCCTGCACTGTAAAGTTTAGAATGAAGACTCCGTCACTGTCGATTGCCTTCCCGATGTAAGTATTGTTGTAAAACACTCGAAGCGTTTCTCTGTGCAGTTGCTTCGAATGTCAACCTCGCGCCTCATGAGTTGAGCTGAAGAGAGGAGGTTGTACTCAGATTGGGAACGACCAGGACGTCTTCGATGTGAATGGTCAAGCGAGTGTCTACAGCTTCAAGGTAAATTTCTCCGATGTCGTATGCATTGAGTCGATTATTGTTTGCGACTCTTATTCCGCACTGTTGCCGCATACGTCTTGCTGATAAAAGTTGGTTATCCCACCATGTGTTGTCCGCATAATCACGTTTTTTGCGACGCTGACGTGCGATGGCGGCAATCTTTGGAGTGATGATGCGTTTGAGATCGACGTAGAAGCGCGAGAGGTTGTACTGGGTTCTGACAGGAAAGCTGGGAGGAGAATCCGGTGTGCTCGGTAGAAGCTCCAAGTCAAGTAGGAGAGTTGTTGGCGTGTCGATCCAGAAGCTTATCGTGGGATCGTTTGTTCAGGCTTGGTGTGATGGGAGTGATGGGTACGATTATTGCGTATTCAATGTTGTCGTAGTATCGGATGCCTCTGCGATGATGCACCATGCAGCTCAAAACTGATCCCTTGCCCTTATCCTTGGACAAAATGCGTGCAGGGGCTTGTGAGGTGCTCGCGACTGAAGGTGGCGACATGGTCGCTTTCGCAACTGGAGTTGCAGGGGCCGCCGAGGGCTGCTGACTAGATGAGTTGTTGTTGCGCCTCTCGCCAGCGGCCTTTCGTTTGTAACACCGGTCTATGGTGTGACCGGGCTTCTTGCAGTATTTGCAAAAGGTTCCCTTCTTTCCATGCTGCTCCATTTCAATCGCTCTAGTCAAGAACACTAACTTTTTCCGCTTGCTGTTCTTTTCATTGTACAGATCGATCTTCTTCTGCTCGGAGAGGAGTGTGGCGCAAAGGGCGGACTCAAAAATAGTGGCTCGAGCGTGGAGCAACAACTCGCACTGACGCCAATCGGGTCCAAGGCCGGAGAGAACCATCGAGACGAACATGTTGTCAGGGACGGGTCCGCCGCACTTCTTAGGACGCGGTAAAAATAGACGATTGATCGTCAGTTGCGATCGATGTGCGGATTGATTACCCTATTTACTACGATGTAACCACGATATAGTATGCTTTTTGGCCAAATGTTTTGTACAGTGTGTGCATCAAACTGATCACTGATCATGGGAGATCTGCCAAATCTCAGTAGCGATCGTTATAACATCACGATCGCCACGTTTCACCAATCGATCTGCCCAATCGATTGCGGGGCTCGATATGTGCAGAGGGGCGTGCGATATTAGCACTTTTTCCGCGTCCTTAATGTGGTCACATAGATTGCGGCACCGATTGTTATACGGCCCGGCTTTCTCCCCTTGTTGCATTTTCACTGATGTCAGTTGACTGAGTAGACGACTCATGGTAACCGGATCCGTTGCCATGTATGAATTGCGCAAGTGTTCCCAAGACATTTGCGCAGGAGCGCACTCTGTTAGAACATTATAGCTTATGCTTTTGTGTAGGCTATAGTGGGGTATCCCATAGGGGGTACAACCCAATTAGGGTTGGTACTTGTACTCACTCATTTCATAGTTCATTCATTTGTGTTCCTTCGTTTCACATGGAATCAGAGCAGGTTCCCTCCCAGGGACTGCTTCTAGGGCCCACCGAAGCGCGCCCCGAGGCGCGCCCTACTTTTTTTTAGCGACCCTCCGTGTCGCCTCTAGCGGCCCGTCGCGCCGCCCTTACCTACGCGGCCCCGCCGCCCTTACATCGCGGCCCCGCCGCCCTGCACTTAGCGGCCCCGCCGCCCTTCCTTCGCGGCCCCGCCACCCTGCACATCGCGGCCCCGCCGCCCTCCCTTCGCGGCCCCGCCGCCCTGCACGTCGCGGCCCTGCCTCTTTTCACTTCACGGCCCTCGCCGCCCTTCCGTCGCGGCCCCGCCGCCCTTCACTGCACGGCCCCGCCGCCCTTCACTCGTGGCCCCGCCGCCCTGCACTACGCGGCCCCGCCGCCCTTCACTCGCGGCCCCGCCACCCTGCACGTCGCGGCCTCGCCGCCCTGCACGTCGCGGCCCCGCCGCCCTTCCTTCGCGGCCCCGCCGCCCTGCATTACGCGGCCCCGCCGCCCTTCACTCGCGGCCTCACCGCCCTGCACGTCGCGGCCTCGCCGCCCTGCACTTAGCGGCCCCGCCGCCCTGCACTTAGCGGCCCCGCCGCCCTTCCTTCGCGGCCCCGCCGCCCTGCAGGTCGCGGCCCTGCCGCCCCCTGAACTTCGCGGCCTCGCCGCCCTTCAGTCGCGGGCCCCGCCGCCCTTCCTTCGCGGCCCCCGCCGCCCTGCACGGCCCGGCCCCGCCGCCCCTCTACCGCGGCCCTGCCGCCCTGCACTTCGCGGCCTTGCCACCCTACCCTTAGCGGCCCCGCCGCCCTACCCTTAGCGGCTCCGCCGCCCTGCACTTAGCGGCCCCCGCCGCCCTGCACTTAACGGCCCCGCCGCCCTCAGCTCCTCGCCAACTGCATCTTGCACCCGAGCAGCCGACGGCCGCGCCGTCGAGTACCGAGAGGGCCGAGCCGCCGAGCCGCCCAGCTGCCGAGCCGCCGAGCAGCCAAGCCGCCGAGCCGCCCAGCAGCCGAGCCGCCGAGCCGCCGAGCAGCTGAGCCGCCGAGCCGCCAAGCAGCCGAGCCGCCGAGCCGCCGAGCAGCCGAGCCGCCCAGCAGCTGAGCCGCCCTTCTGCCGAGCCGCCTGTCCTGCCCCGTCTGTTGAGCACGCCCCACTGCTACTGCGTGCCCTTCCCCCCCCCACTGCTTGCACTGCTAGTCTGTCGTCATGGCTACCCCCAGTGTCCTCGCTTTTGATGCTGAGGGTCGAGCCATTGACTTTGAGGTCTGGGTCGACGACCTGCAGTTGTTTTTACAGTGCGATAGGGCGGACGGTCTTTCTCTCTTTGACCTCACCTCTGGCGCCTCTCCTGCTCCTGCTGCTGATGCTGACCCCACTGTTCGCTCTCAGTGGGCCACCCGCGATGCTGCTGTACGTCTTGCTGTGCGTCGCCACCTCCCTACCACTGAGCGCGCGCACTTTAGTCAGTACAAGAGTGCTCAGACCTTGTACGACGCTGTAGTTGCACGCTACTCTTCCCCTGCCACTGCTGCACTGAGCCGCCTCATGCTACCGTACCTCTTTCCTGACCTTGCTGCCTTTCCCACAGTCGCTGACCTCATTACGCACCTCCGCACTAGTGACACCCGCTACCGCGCTGCGCTTCTTGCTGAGTTCTGCGCCAAGAACCCCCCCCCCCCCCATGTACATCGCTCTCTATTACATAGTCACTCACCTCCCTGACTCTCTTCGCGTAGTCAGGGACCACTTCCTCTTAGTCTGTCCCAGCAGTCTCACTGTTGACCTCCTCGAGAAGGCCCTCCTAGCGGCAGAGAAGAGCATAGTCGCTGTAGGAGCCTCTCGTGGAGACCCGTGCACCCCCATCTTTGAGGGGTGTTCTCCTTCCCCGCTGCTGCCCTCTGTTGCCTCTGCTGCTGCTGCCGACCTGCTTGGTCTTGAGTCGGTCGGCGTGGCGTCTGCCCCTAGCGGGAGACGCCGCCCTGGCAAGGGCAAGAGGGGCAAGGGCGCGGGTGGAGCTGGCGGGGGCGGTGGAGGTGGCGGTGGAGGCGGCGGAGGGAGTGGGGGTGGCGGTGGGAGTGGTGGGGGGAGTGGTGGTGGTGGTGGCGGCAGCGGCGACGGAGGTGGTGGCGGCGGAGGCGGTGGGGGCGGAGGCGGTAGTGGTGGCGGCGGTGGAGGAGGCGGTGGCGGAGGAGGTGGAGCTGGTCGGGGTAGTGCCCCGCAGCGGAGCGGCTCTGGTGGTGGTCCGCGGCAGCAGCAGCAACGTTCTCGGGACGTCCCCCCGCCTTAGCACCTCCGTGAGTGGTACGCGCTGAGTCAGCGTGGTGGGGGTTTTGGCCCGTGCACCTACGTTCTTCGCAGCGGCGACCGCGCGGGTGAGCAGTGTGGGGGTGCCCACTCCACCCGGCGCTGCTTTGGCCGCCTGTCGGACGCGTGGCGTCAGCAGTTCCCCGACGCCTCTGAGGTCCCCTGCTGAGGAGAGCTGTCTAGGGTTGGCGTAGTGATCTTTGATCTTGACTTTGATGCTATCCTTGCTGCCATGTATCCTGTGTCTATCAGTGATGAGGGTGACTGTTACCGGTGTTTCCCGCCCGACCCGGGCATTGGTACGGCTGCGCTAGGTGCTTGTGAGACTGCTGCGCTATCAGGTGCTGGTGAGGCTGCGCTCTCAGGTACTGGTGAGGCTGCGCTCCCAGGTACCGCGTCGGCTTCGGCCTCCCTCACCTTTACACTTGACTCTGGGGCTTCTCGCTCCTTCTTTCGGGACCGCACCACACTCACGCCGCTTGGCCCGCCGGTTGCGGTCTCCCTGGCTGACCCCTCTGGGGGTCCTGTCCTCTCTCACTTCTCCATTGTCCTCCCGTGTCCAGCTGCCCCTTCGGGCACCCTGTCTCGTCTGTACCTCCCCTTGTTCTCGACGAACTTGGTGAGTGGTGCTGCCCTATAGGATGCGGGGGTTCACCAGTTTACTCCTGCGAGTCAGCGGGTGACCCACTGCACGGACGCGCGCACAGGCCAGCACCTGGCCACGTTCTCCCGTCGGCCGGGGTCGAGCCTCTACACCCTGACCACTGAGTCTCCTCCTGTCCCTGTGTCTGGCTAGGTAGCTGCGTCGGGTCAGGTGTTTGCTGCTGCGTCCAGGTCTGGTACTGAGTCTGCCTCCTGCTCGTGTCGCCTCCTGTCTCACGAGACTCTCCTGTGGCACCACCATCTTGGCCACCCCTCCTTGCCCCGTCTCAAGGACATGGCTTCCCGTGTCCTTGTCTCTGGTCTTCCCTGGTCTCTCCCTCCTCTTCCTTCGGGGCCAGGACCTTCCTGTGTCCCTTGTGTTGAGGGGTGCCTCCGGGCTGCCCCCCACTCCTCCCAGTTTCCTCCGACAGAGGCTCCTCTGCAGACGCTTCACATGGACGTGTGGGGCCCGGCCCGCGTCCGTGGACAGGGTCACGAGCGCTACTTCCTGCTGGTGGTTGACGACTACTCGCGTTTCACCACAGTCTTCCCCTTCCGCAGCAAGGGTGATGTCACTGAGGTGTTGATCGACTGGATCGGCGCAGCTCGTTTCCAGCTCAGGAGGAGCTTTGGCTCGGACTCCCCTATTCTGCGTCTGCACTCTGACCGAGGCGGAGAGTTTTCCTCTGGCCTTCTGCGAGCCTACTATCGTGCAGAGGGCATCCGCCAGACCTTTACGCTTCCGGACTCTCCACAGCAAAATGGGATTGCTGAGCGCCGCATTGGCATGGTCATGGACGTCGCTCGTACGTCCATGATGCATGCGGCTGCCCCCCATTTTCTGTGGCCGTTTGCGGTTCGGTACGCGGCAGATCACATCAACCTTCACCCCGGGGTTTCCCGGCCGGGGAAGGTCCGTACCTCCCCGGCCCTGCTGTGGACTGGGAAGGTCGGTGATGCGTCTGCGTTCGGTGTCTGGGGATCTCGGGCGTTTGTCCGTGACTTGTCTGCGGACAAGCTGTCCCCTCGTGCTGCTCCCTGTGTCTTCCTTGGCTTCCCCCCTGACGCTCCAGGGTGGCAGTTCTACCACCCCTCCTCTCGTCGTGTTCTGTCCTCCCAGGACGTCACGTTCGACGAGTCAGTCCCCTTCTACCGCCTCTTCCCCTACTGCACTCCTTCCCTCCCCCCGCCACCGGACTTCCTTGTGCCAGGTCCCCCCCAGGTAGACCCCCTCCCCCCTCAGGTTCCTGCCCCTTCAGGTGTGTCCCAGGTAGACGCAGTCGAGCCGGTCGAGGTTGCTGGTGACTCTGGTACTGCTGCGGGTGCTGAGCCTGGGGGTGCTGACTCTGGGGGTGCTGTGCGCGTGGGTGCTGAGCCTGGGGTTGCTGACTCTGGGGGTGCTGCGCCAGAGGGCGTTGAGCCTGGAGGTGCTGCGTCAGGAGCTGCTGAGCCTAGAGGTGCGGAGCCTGCGGTCGCTAGACCTCCCCTTGTGGCGTCTGGCGGTGCTGGGTCTGGAGGTTCTCTGGGTGCTCCGTCTTGGCGGGAGCCCCTCTCTCCACAGGAGCTGCACGAGTGGTTTGCTCGCCGCTGGAGGCGTACTGCTAGAGCTGGAGCTTCTTCGGCCGCTGAGGGTGCTGGTGCCGCCGGTCTTGGAGCTGCTGGGCCTGCGGATCCTACTGGAGCTGGAGCTGCTGAGAGTGTTGGTGCTGAGACTGCTGCTGTGTGTCCTGGCGGTGGTCCTGCTGCTGGTGCGGCTGGCGGTCCTGCCGTTGGAGGTGCTGTTGGCGCTGGTGCTGCCGCTGAGGGTGCTGGTGCTGTCCCTGCTGTGTCTGGAGTCCCCGCGCGGCCTCGGCCGTACTTCGTTCCGCTCCTGCAGCAGGTTCTTGGTCTTCCTCCTTCTGTAGAGTGTCCACCGCCTGTCCAGTCGCAGTCACTGTTAGAGCCAGCCTCCCCACTGCCTGCTCCCTCTCCTTACACTGGTCCTACTGGAGGTCTTGCTGAGCGTCGTGAGCCTGCGTCTTGTCCCGCGTCGCCTGTTCGTGCTTCTCGCGCTAGTGGTCGCAGTTTGCGTCAGCGTCCTCCTCCTGTCCCTGGCACGCACCGGATGTCTTTGCGTCCGTCTACTGCTCCTCTGCGTGCCCCTTTGCCTTCTCCTCCTGAGTCCTCTCTTCTTGCGCTTGCCGACCCGAAGTCGGACTCTCTGCGTGCTGCCAGTCCTACCGTCACGCGTCTTCTTGCTAGTGTGGTCACTGACCCCTCCTTTGAGTCCACTGCTGCGTCTGCTCTTGTTGTTGTTTAAAAAGGTACAATGGAGCAATTTGGCCAAGTGACGGTATGTTGTGTTAATGAGAAGTAATTTACAGACAGGCAGGTGAGCACTTTGAGAACAGGCATTACCACTACTTAAAAGGCCTGTCACCACTGCCGCCTACTCCCTCACCACGCCTCTCCCTCTACCCCTCCCACTCCTACACCCCTACCTCCCTTCCTTCCTCTCCTTCTCTCACCTGCTCCTCCCTCATTCCCATCCATTCCTTGCTCCCGCTCCTTCCCTCTCCCCCCTCTCGCTCTGCCCCCTATCCTCCCTCCCTTTCCACCCTCTCTCCTCCTTCCTGTTGCATTCCCTTCCTCCCTCCCATTCCTCAGCGCCTCCTTTCCACCCCACCCCCTCCACGCCCCTTCCTCTGATTCACTCCCCTCCCACCCCTCCCATTTTGGTTTCAACCCCATGTCCTATCCATCCTCGTGCATTTTCTTTTTCTGTAATTCGTTCACAGCTCCACCATGCACTATCTCAGTATCGCTTTGGATCTCTGCCGCTATGTTTCCTCTCCCAGGCCTCGTATCTCAACTTAGCCTTGCAGCAGCCCAACTATCATCTCGTTTTCCTTTGATCCTACGATTTTGATGGGCTCATCTCTATACGTTAGTTAGTCATGCCTATGTGATCCATCTCCCCCTCCCTGGCCCTTGTCGCCTCCTGTGACATTCTGTCTTGCCTTTTATGCCGCTTGCCCCTCCCTCTCATGCTTATATTCTTACATGCAACTACGAGAGTTGGGCACATGCCGGGGCAGACCAGGCAGTGACCCCAGGGCTGTTTGACTCAGACAATCACGGAAAGGGCCAACAGCAAAGCAAGCGCATGGTGCAAGGATTACGAGACGATGGCTGAAGGGGTAATGGTCTGATGGAAAGATGGAATATGGGTTAATGGGTTGACAAGAAGATCGTGTGATGATGTGACGGGATGATTGTGTGATGGTGTGATGTGATGGTGAGATCAAGGGACTTGAGTCCTCCATATGAAAATGGTCGATCCAAGAGACTTTGGGGTGGCAATGGCAGGCTAGCAAGCTGACAAATGAGAGCAGACACCTGATAGGTAGGTCCGAGTCAAGGCACTACTGAGCTCTGTGCAGAGTTGAGTGATCATTAATCGATGTGTGGGCGCATAGGCACTAGGGAAACATGCTACTGGCTGGACTATGCACACCTGGTGGGTGCAGGAACAGCTTGATGGACAAGGGCGGCCAAGGGAAGAGGGAGGGAGAGAGCAGGGAGGTGGGTGCAGGAAAGGCGGATTGGATGCTGGCTGGACTATGCACACCATGGAGGGGCGGATGGCAATGGGGATGAGGATGGAAAGGGAGAAAGGGGTGGGGATGGGAAAGAGTAAGGGGAAGGGGAAGGAAAGGCAACGAAGAGTGACTGCTGTACTCAGCACACCTGGTGGCTCTGCCACGATGCTGGAAGACGTGGGGAGGGTGGAGAGTGTATTTGGGAGTATAGAGGAAAAGAGAGCAACCTTAAAGCCCGCGGCCCAAATTGCGGAGCACGCGGGTCAGGATTTTAAAACTTGACCAAATACTGTTTGCAAGCTTTGAAAAGAAGCGCACCTGCAATTTGGGACTTTTGGGGACTGACCCAACCCCCAGGGCGAAATATGAGGGCAGGCTGAGTTTGGCGAAAAAAAAGAAAAAGAAAAAAACGAAATCGAAATCCCTCGCCAAAACCCAGACCAGAAGAGCCCCCACACCTCAACCTTTTAAAACTTGTGCAATTTGGGCCAACGGCTTTAACATGCAAGTGTATGGATTTCATTGCTCCTGATTTGTAGCTCGTGCAGCTGAGAGAATTGGGGCCATGGGGGGGAGGACAGGCAATGAACTACCTGAAGTTGTTGAACAGAGCCATTGTGGTGCAGATCACATCCAGTGAAAGGGCATGGCGAGAGTGTGATGGGACGATGGGGCGATGGGGTATGAGTTGATGGGGTGAAGGGGAGATGGGATAATGGAATCATAGGGTGATGGACAATGAGATCCTGGGGTGATGTGATCATGGGATAATGTAATCATGTGGTGATGTTCATGGGACAATGAGATCATGGGAATATGTAATCTCGGGGTTATGTAATCATGAAATTATGTGATTGTATCATCACGCGATCTAGGGGTGATGTGACTATTAGATAATGAGATCATGGGGTAATAAGATCATATGGTTATGTGATCATGGCCCATTATGAGATCATGAGGTTATGAGATCATAAGGTAATGTAATCATGAGGTTATGTGATCATGGGGTTGTTGAAAGACAAGTTAGGTAGGGAAGGACTTAGGAGTAGAAGTTACATTATTTCAAGTGAGCTTGCAGGATATACATTCAAGACAGAGATGAAGCAGAGGCCAGATCTATATGGAACAGCCGAGCCATCTGGCCTGGTGGGGCTATTGGACCAAGGACCCAACTGGCCTAGTGGGGTGAGTTGGACCAAGGACCCAACTGGTCTAGTGGGGTTAGTTGGACCAAGGACCCAACCGACCTAGTGGGGTGAGTTGGACCAAGGACCCAACTGGCCTAGTGGGGTGAGTTGGACCAAGGACCCAACAGGCCTAGTGGGGTGAGTTGGACCAAGGACCCAACTGGCCTAGTGGGGTGAGTTGGACCAAGGACCAAACCGGCCTAGTGGGATGAGTTGGTCCAAGGACCCAACAGGCCTAGTGGGGTGAGTAGGACCAAGGACCAAACCGGCCTAGTGGGGTGAGTTGGACCAAGGACCCAACTGGCCTAGTGGGGTGATTGGGACTGCAGCCAACTGTGGGAAGCTAGACACCACCCACCACAAGTGTGTGTCCAACTCTGTACAGTTGGCTGTCCTTCACAATGGTCAACCAGCACACTAAAGTTGGTCCTGTGTTCTACATCTAGAATTGGGTTTACCCCAATTTCGGTGTTTACCCAGTCTACACCAAGCAACAGAACTTGCAGGTATATCTATGTAATTAAACAGAGTGCAGTGGTGGCAGTGATCGGATTGTGGTCAGTCAGCCCATGGGTCGATAAGTCAGCGATGGGTCGGTTAGTGGGTCGATGAGTCAGCAATGGGTTTCATGGAGTATCTGTGCTCGGTGCAAGTCATATTTTTTTCACCCAAGAATTTCTCTAATGTTCACCCAAGTTATTTTTTATTTGTAAGGGCCTTTGGGCCTTATCGCCACTGGATTATGGTTTTGTTTTCCCCTGTCTCTCCCCATACCCCCTTATACTCACGTTTTTGTTGCCAGGTTTCATTCCCCCTAGAAGGCTCTTCCCCTACCGCATCTGACATGTCATTGCTATGAAAGGGCTATGAAGAAATTAAACCCCTTTTGCCCATGTGTAGCAGATGACAAGGCACAGAACAGAAGTGGTTATTGTCCGGATCAGGCCCCTAGATTGCTCATAGGGCTGGCTGATCCATTGATTAAGCTGGGAGTTCAGCTTTCCCCACCCAAAAGACTTTGAAATTTCAGTGTTTACTGTAATATTTAAGTTGATAATCGAGCCTATGTACATAATTTAATGCTGTGTTTTAATGTATAGGAAATCACAAGTTACATGTTTGACTGAAACTTGAAGTGTTGAATTCATGAAGTGTCTTGCCAGTATTGCCGGGTCATGCGCAAAACCTGAGGTAACTGGCCGTGATCGACAATTGAGTGGTGGAGAGGTTGGAGGGGAGGTGAGTGGCACAGCTGGAGCCAGCTCGCGTGCAGGGGGCTCGGAGTCTGGTAGCGCTACCAGGCCCACTACCAGAGGGCTACGGTATATCATATTATCATCTAGTGCAGCCTTTTATGGTAAGTTGAGAGTTTAGTGCTTTACGAGCCCGATGTTTGTTGCTGCTACAAAAAAGGCTCATAATTTCCATCTTGAAATCCCATATTGATCATGACTGAAGCTATTCTACAATGTAGCATATATCATGCATGCAACAGGTGAGACATTTACAAAATGTGATAAGCAAGAAATATGTACCCATAGACAAGCCAAAGCTTTAGTCGTTGCTTTTGGTGTGATTAACCCAATTTTATTGTTCCATCTACCTGATCACCAAAGATGCTACCAGTATCCTTTACTAAACGTCTTTCAACAAGCCATATTGCCTCATACCAATGGCACAAATGATTGTTACCAGAAGCTCTATGTGAACCAGTAAGGATCAAGTGAAAGCGAACTTGATTATGTGGAAGAGCTGCTTGGCATGCCCTCGCGCTCCGCACGGGCCATTTGAGCAGTGAAGCTGGAGGAGCTAATGGAATATCCAAGCTCCATGTCGATGCGAGATTTGGCCTCGCCCACATGGCTCTCATGTGCTCCGGACGCCTCCTGCTTAAACTTCACCAGCTCTCCCAGCACTTGATTCATGGAGGGGCGGGAGGCCGCAGGCATGGCGGTGCAGGAGAGGGCAAGGCGAGCCCAACGCAGCACCAAGTCATCTGGTGCATCCAAGTACGGGTCCTTGAAGAGTGCCACGGCATCTGACTCGACAAATGGGGCGATCTGTTGGGTTGAAAGAGAACACAACCATGTGGACGAATACGCGTGATGTATTTCTGATATGAATGCTCCCGAGTGGAGGATTGAGCATTGGTCATCCATTAGTCATGAAGAACTCAGGCAGTAAGTCTGTACCAAGCAGTTATAGCTTACCCATTGCTTCAGACTGATCTGGCTGGTCTCGCTCACTTGCACGGCCTTGCGTGCCGAGATGACTACCAGCATCACCACACCAAAGCTGTTAACACCAAGCCAGCAAAAAGGTGCAAGGACCAGAATGGAGATTAATGTGAGGCATGTCAATGGAACATTCTATGCCAGGCCTGCATCACAAATGGAAATATTCATCTGCTACTGGTGTGGCCTTGTGGGACTTGTATAAGGCGGGGCCAAGATAGACCGGTGTTCACATCACTCGAGTAAGATATTATCCCACTCTACTAAAAAATATATATATTTGCCCTCTCACCTGTA